CGGGGCGGGCGGGAGCGGCCGCGCGGCAGGAGGCCGCGGTTTAACGGGCTGCGGTGCGCACGTCGCCTCCGGCCGGGCCCTGCCCCGTTTTAAGGGGGCCCGGCAGTGCCCGCGCCCTCCCGGCGGCGCCCCGTGCCCCGTTCCTGGCTCCCGGGGGGTCCCACCCCGCTCTCCCGGCGCTCCCGGTCCCGCTTCTCCCCACGCGGACCCAATGGGGCACATACCCGGCACGGCCCTGCCAGGGTGGGAAATGGGCCCCGCTCTTTGTGCTGTAGCCAAGAGCAGTCTGGACGGACGGGAGATTCCCCATTGCTGTGGGTGTTCGTTGGCCGCCGGCTAATAGGGTGGTGAATCCTAGGTGAATCCTACGCTCCCTGAGCCGAATTCCTCGTTTTATCCCGCACGCTGGTTTCATTGCAGGCAGAGCACGGTAACGGCAGCAGTGCGGGCGGCTGGTCCCAAGCCGCGCATGGAGGATGTTCCTGGGCTGCTCTTGGTGTCGCTGGCGCTGCAGGGGTTTCTGTCCGGCTGCTTCAGCCCATACCACACATGAGGTGGTTCGATAACAGTTACCCGATTCTCTCTAGACTCTGAGTGAGGAGACAGCGTCAAACCTGGGCTCTGAGCTGCCCTACCCCTGTCAGAAATAGCTGGGAGGCTTTGGGTGCGCGCTGGCCCTTCTGTAGCTAGTCTGGAGTGCAGAACGGGGCCAGGCAACGGGGCTGAGGTTGTCTGCCCCGCGGCTGGGTCCTGGTGTCCTCGGCCCGCGGTGGCCGTGGGCAGCTCTGCTCCAGCCCTGCGGAGCTCCCCGGTGAGTGTGTCCGGGCCGGCCCGTGGGCCAGGGCTGCCTGCTCTCGCTGGGTATCACACTGCTGTCTTACAGGGGAGGACACCGAGGTGCAGAGGGGTTAAATGTGTTACTCGGCCTATGTGAATATAGAGTGAATGGGGGTCAAATGTGGTGATGTGAGGCAAGGACGTAATAAAAGCAGAGGGAGCCCCATATTAGAGCGTGTTGTGCTGGAGTGTTGGTCTTGCACATTGCTCGCTCATCAAGGAGCCAAAGTAATTGCGTTCTGCAGTCAAATGAGGATGGACTTGTATTCCTTCCTTGTGGTATCAAGGTTTAATTTGCCCCGCATGGCCCAAATTGCACTGTCCGTCCTCTGGAAGCACTGAACTGAATTTGCCATCGCTGGGGTTTGGAGTTGCAGGTGTGAATATGAGAGATGGGGGTGACAACTGAATGTTGTTCCACGGCATGCACAGCTCATCCCCAGATAACCTTGCAACTGCACATACGAACCAGCCTGGCTAAAATTAAAACTGCTTCTTAAAGCCGCTGTCTGATGTTGCCTGAAGCTTTTTTGTTCGGTTTATTTTTGCAAGGTCACTGAGACAGAAGAGTGCATTCTCGAAGCATATTGGCCTGGAGCCTTTCATGTAGATGCATTCATTTAACATTTGGGACAGCCTCCCTCTCCCTAGTCGCTTCAATTTTATTCCATTGTTTTCTGTCTCTTTCTATTCCTGTCCCTTTTGCTTGTTTGTTTTTTTTTTTTTTCCCTTTTCTTTTTTTTTTTTTTTTTTTAACCTTAGAAGCCCTCAAATCAGTAACAGATCCCCACCTTCATGCGCAGGGAGAAAACCCATCATTTTTAACATCAGAACACACCATCATCATTAGCTTCACCATTCGTTCATCATCAGCCGTCCCCGGCTGAGCGGGCTCTGTCACTTCAGCTGTTTCCCAGGGAGCTCCGTCCCTCAGCAGCCTCTCCCGGTGCCCGGCCGGGCCCGGAGCAGCTGCCGGAGCCCACGGCGCCGGCCGGGGCTCCCGCTCCGTGCGCTGCCACGTGCAGCAGCATGTGCACCTTCAAGCAAAGCCCGTTTCTGCCTCCTCCAGTGGCTTGCAGCGTGATCTTGGACTGTTTATTTCAGATCAGAATATAACCCCCTTTTTCTTTTTTTTTTAATTTGCAGTTTCAAATTGCTGAGAACGTTAAATTCCGGTTCAGAATTTAATGGCTGCGTGAGCAGGCGCTCTGAGAGATGGCCCAGGCACAGTAAGCTGAGCTTCCAATACATGTCCAGAATCAGAAGTCATTTTGAAGATGTAAACCACTATTTAAGGTCTGATAAAGGGCTCCAGTATGTGAATTAGGCACCCACTATCTGGAATAGACCAGGTCACAAAATCAGGCATCTTTCTTCCTATTCAGCAAAAAGAATATGGAAGAATGAGAGCAAAGAGCAGCCAAAAAAGCCTTTTGGCCAAGTGAGAAGCCGCCCGTAAATTTCTCAGCTTCATTTGCACCATTTCTGCAATGGGGATCATTGCAAATACTATATTAATAGATGCATGCTAAAAATCCACAAAATGCCCCCTTTCATACTGTCAGCTATCAAATACAGTAAAACTCTTCCTATACATGAGAGAGCTGTAGGCAGCACAGTTCATTAGCTGCAAGCTGCTGCTAGCAGCAAACAGCTGCTTCCAAGCTAGTTAATTAAACTAGAGCAAAAACTAGAATATTAGTTCAGATCATTGCGGATTCTCCCTTTCCTTTCTGCATTAGGGAGTGCAAGCTGAGCTACAAACCACACCAATTGCCATGAAAAAAAAATTAATACCTCCTTAACTGTGTTACTAAGATGGATTAATTATTCTTTGTTCTGGTCTCTGAAGATAGAGGCTAATTATTATTAATTATGTGTAATTGAAAAGTTGCTTCTCCACAAAGAATCCAGTAGCAGCTAATGAGATTTTGACTTCTGGCCACCTATATGGTACAACGTTCCATAATGTTATAGCAAAACCCACCAAAAACTAAATCCTGGCCTCAGAGAGTTTTAGTGGGTTTCCTGGCTGTGTTTTAGACCATGTTTTTTGGCTGTAACAAGTCTCAAGGCGTGCGGGGGAGATGGAGCTCCACGTTTTGCACAGGGCTCAGCGGCCACTTAGGCGAAAGAAGCATCTGTAAGGAAAGAGGAATCTGCAAAGCTGCTGGCAATTGGTACTGCCACAAGAGTTCTCTTCAATAAGCTTCCAGAAACCTGTCAGAAAATAATTTAAAGAAAAGCAAAGCCACACAGGTAAGCCAAAGGGAAAAAAGTGTATATGTGTGAAACAAAAATCCTGATTTTACGTAGCCAGGGGGAAGCTTTTGCAAGAAATCCCTCCAGTGAGAAGTGCATCCTCTGCAGGGCAGCACAGATGGACGGCAGAGGTATCTGCTGAAGGAGGGAGATGGTGTCGAGCTGTGTGAATTCAAGTGAAAATGAAGGTTTATTGTGATTTTATACAAAGGCAGAACGCTTTAGATAAGGTTGATTGGCCTGAGACTTGACATTTCTGACAGCCCCACAGGTTTGTGATGTTAGTCACAAAACGGCCAAATATTTGGTGCATAACTTCCTTTGACTCAGATGGGAGTCAGGCCCTTTAGATCCATGGACCTTAGTTTCACATTGGCAAAGTGAGGATATTTCCTTTTCTTCAAGGAGAGCTGCGAGTAACTGAAGGAGTTACAACCCAGGCCAGTCTGCGGCTCGGATTGGGTGCCGGGTGCAGCCGCGAGTGCGGATTTGGGGGCAGGAATCCACACAACTGCTGCTGAGCAAATTCGGGCTCTGACAGACTGGCAAAGCCCAACACAAACAGATTTCCAGAGGCAGCCACCGTTACAGATTGAAGGAGACAGAGAGCCCTGGAAGCATCTGACCCGTTTGGGGCAGATTGCTGGGGGGCTGGTTTGCTTTCAACACATTTGCACCTATGTCAGTGTGTAAATACCTGCCGTTTTTTCTAACTAAGCACCCCATGAAGGCAGAAATGGGCTAATAAACGTCTGGTGCGTTTGCTGGGCGGCCTCCCGAGGGCAGGGGAATTCGGGCTGGCCCTTGGGGTGCCCTCTCCCTGCTGCAGGGTCCCGCGCTGCTCTGCAGGGAGGTGGTCTGGGGGCGGCTGACGCGGGACGTGTCCCTGCGGCCCCACGGAACAAACCCTGGAGCACAAGCAGTTGTCGCCCCGTGACCTTCTTTGTCCCCGTTTCATACTTGTGGTGCTTAAAAGATCATGTTCAGCCCGCTGTAACACTAGTGACTTAATTAGAGCTGAATTTGGTCCTGCTGCCTCTGAACATGAGCAGCTTCCATGGAGTCATCTAAAGCATCAGATCTAGTTTCTGCTCTCGCTCGGGCCTCGTGGCATCTGGTTTCATTTTCCATCTTTCCGAGGCGAGCTCACTTTTCCCCACATTGCAGCATCTCCTGCCGTGTGTCAGCGCCCAGGGCTGCTGCATCCCGCCGCCTAGCCCGGCACCGCTGCGGGATGCGGGATGCAGGATGCGGACACGGAGACGCGTCACCGTCGGCAGCGTCACTGCATGTGGCTTGAAACTAGTGTCCTTTCCTGGCTCAGGAACCCTTGCCAGGCCGGGGAGGTTTGTATCTCCCTGCAGGAATTTGGTCCTGCCATTAACTTCTTCCTTCCCTTTCCCCATCGCTACTATGGGGCCAAAATGAAACTCCCTCCACTTTGCTTGTGGAAAGCCGAGGGATGGCCCCTTAGGTGGTAGTTAGGAAGTACGAAGGTGT